ATATATATATATATATATATATATATATATATATATATATATATATACTTTTTCAGACATTGTTAAATATTTTAACAACTCTGACAGCCCAAGCTGGTGGACAAAAGACCACACTCATCTGTCTCTCCCTCCCTGGGAGTCACACAGGGAAAGGGTAAAAAGACCATGCCAGGCACAGATGCCCCTCTGATCCCTTTCACTTTGGACTCCACCCTGGCTGGGTAGGCTTATGTGATGTGATGGAGAGGGATTTTGGAGCTAGTGACTTGGATACAAAGTTGCTAATATAGAACCACCCAGATTCTAGCCTCAGCAGCCACATACAAAAAGGTTTGGTTTTATGGCCCATTTCTACCATGGAGGATGGCCTGTGTCTCTGCCACCACCAGGACACTTACAAGGACTCCCTCATCCTAGGTGAGGATCCCCACTCCAGCTCTTGACAGCTCGCCAGTGAACCACACAGCAATGTCTCAGTCCCAAAACATTCTGCACTCTCACCCCAAGGGAACGCTGTGCTGCCAGGATTGGCCACTCACTGCCCATTCTGTCCCTGGCCATCTGCTCTGTCCCACCCTGCAGCCGGCTTGGGGCTCAGTCCCCAAGGGCTGCTCTCACTCCTGCCCCAGCACACTTCTCCATCACCTCCTGTGATATAACCCTGCCCTTCTAAACCCTATCCCAGCCTAGCAGGAGGGCTCCTAGCGCACTTACTAGGCTGCCTGAAAGTATGCAGTGTAGCTCACTGTGCCCTTGCCTGGGGCTGGGGGTGCCCTAGTCTTTCCTGCTCCCATGCTCCTCCCTCTGGCTTTCCCTGCTTACCCTACCCACTCCTGTCCCCTAACTTCTCCCTGCTCCCTCTCCTGATTCTTGTTCCCTCTGCATGGTCCCCATCTGACTCTTCCTTCATCCCTCTGTTTACTGTTCCTTCTAAATGTTTCTTGTTATTTCTGTCTGTCCCCTGGTCTGTTTCCTGATGCCTCTGTTTATTGCTTCCTCTGATTGTCCCTTGTTCCATGCCTCCTGTTTCTTCTTCCCTCTGACTGATCCCTGATGCCTCTGACTGTCCTGTGTTCCCTTTGACAGCTATTCCTCTAGCTGATCCTTAGTCTGTGGCACCATTCTGGTTGCACCCTAGTCCATCTGGCTGCTCCCTGGTCCTGATGAGCCTTTCTCATTCCTTCTAGTTGACACAGACTGACTGCCCTTTGACTCCTCTGACTTCTTTGTAGACCCAATTCTTCCCTGCTCCTTGGGCAGTCCTGGAAGGCATTTCTAATATGCTCTCATCTGGTGCTCTGCATCTGGTCCATGGACCACTGTCTGTGAAGTGCTGGTCTACCTGGCTCCTAGCCTAGGCTCTTGATCATCAACATATACTACTTCTGTGTGCTTTGTGCCACAGCTGGGTTCTGTACTTTCACCTTCTGCATCACTTGCATTACATCTGACTTTTGACTGGCTCCTTTGGCTGTTTCTTGGGCAGGGTGACCAACTGTCCCAGTTTGCCTAGGACTTTCCCTGTTGTAGCAGTGAAGTTCCACATCCCATGAAGCCCCTATTGCCCTATCTCAGGGAACTCTGGATGCTCCCCAGACTCTCTCTGGCTTCTGCAACTGTCCCTTAACCCCAGTGCCCACTACATGGGGCCTCTGGCTTCGGGAATGGATACTATGCCTTCCAGCTGTTCTCTAGTCCCTCTAGTTGTTCCCAGGTCAGACAGGCTGCTATCCAAACCAGATATATCTTTGATGTCCACTTTGCTGTTCCCTCTGGCTACTCCCCAACCTCTACGACTGTTCCTTGTTGCCTCTGGTGCCCTTGGCTACTCCTCATCCTCAGAGGTCCTTTTGCCTCTCCAACTGTCCCATGGGTCTGTCCCTTTCCTGCCCCTCCAACCTGTTCTACAGCCTCAGCATCTGGTCCCTAGCTTCCTCTGGCTGCTGCATATCCCAGGCTCATCTTTCCCATTTCCCATTTCTGTTCCCCAGTATCTCTGCCTTTCCCCATCCTCTCAGATTCTCCTCTGACCCCTGGTACCTCTTGAAGTGGCTTGTCTGGCAGGCTCTTACCCAGTACACCAAACCTTTTTGCTTTTTCCTTTTAGCTGATTCTTCTGTTTCCTTGTCCCTGTGGATGGTCCCTGTTCCCTCTGGTTGATATCTGGTTCCTCTATTTCCTGGTCCCTCCTCCCATTTTGAGATCCTTCTAATTGTTCTCATATCCTCTGGCTCTTCCTTGCTCCCCACTATTAACACTTCTCCAGCCCCAACTACTGTTTCTTGGTCTCTCTGCTGCTCCTGGCCTCTGGCTCTTGTTTCCCATTTCCTCTGTTTGTTCCACTGATTTCCCACCTGTCCCCTGGGCCCCTTGGCTATCCTCTGTTTCCAGTAAGTGCAACATGGTCCCTCCAGCTGTTCCCTGTGGCTATTCCTCATCCCTCTTTCTCTTACTGACACCTCTGCCTGTTTTCCAGCTTCAGCCACTATTCTTAGCCCAACTGGCTGTTCCTCACCCCTGGGGACATTTTTATTGGTTCCTTGGTATCTCTTCCCATTCCCTGCTCTCTGACATCTAATGAAAAAACTAAGAACCTAACAAATAAATACATGAATAAATAATATTTACCAGGGTCTTAGTCATTTCCGTCTCTTCTTGCAAATGGGCAGAGGTCTATGGTTGGGAAGGAAGACATGAATGGAGAAATGTGCCTTGCAGAGATCAGAATCATTCATCTAGAAATTTCCACACATTGGCTGGGCAAGAGGCCATGTGCAGAAGGACTTGGGAGGACCACATTGTTGTGGCCCCAACCTGTGGGTCTGTGACTGATATGATGGAGAAGAGCCTGGACAAGGACAATTTTCCAAGAGTGGAAGTGCCCTACTGTTAGGCAGCAAATCGTTTACCATTCAATGTCCCTATACCTTTGACTCAAAATATAATTTCAGTGACTTGGGCAAAAAGATTTAAGTGTAAGAATTTCACCATAGCAGTTTTCATCACAACAGAAAACCTAGAACACCCTAAATTCACATATAGTGGATTGGTTAAATTAAATATAGTTTATCCATAGGATATAGTTTATCCTATGCATCATGTGTGTGTGAAGAAAAATATTTACTGCCTAGAAAATTATATTAAACTGCCAAGTTAAAAAGGAGACAACCAAATACTATGATTTCATTTTTAAACTTGAGCTATATAATGTATATGTGTGTGGTATGTATGTACACTCACAGCCCCACATGTATACCCACATACATGCACATACAAAGGAAAAAAAAACTGTAAGGAACTATAGCTAAATGTTAACAATGATTAACTTTGGCTAATGCTGGAATTATAAGTAATGTTTTATTCTCTTGTATTTGCTTACCTGTATTTTCTAACATTATATTGTGAAATAATGCAATTATGAAATAGTAAACATCAAAATAATTTTTTAAAGTTTAATATTATCCTAATGACCACATGACCCTGAGCCCCTGTGACAACGAGCCTGTCCCCAGAGGTGACAGCATCCACAGGACAGTCGGAAAGAGGGAGCTGTGGGGCAAGGTCTGGTTCCCTCATCATCTTGCTCTGTTTACAGAATCTCAAGGGGAACTTTTAGTGGGAAACTTGGTCTTGGCTATTGTGTGGTGACGGTGGAAGACATGGTCAGGAGACAAGGTTCCAGTCCACTGCTGTCACTCACAATCCCAGAGGCCTGGGCAAGTCATGTACCTTCTCAGGCCACTTTACTCATCTTTGAGAGGAGGAGGAAGCAGAAGGGCCCTAGAGACTGTGGTCACCCTACTACCCTGCCATTCTCTAAGTTCCAAAGAAAGGGGATTTTTCTGCCCTAGATCAGGATAGAGGAGAAATCAGCAAGTCCCCAAGGATCAGGGGAAAGCAGGCTCTGGTAGGGATCAGCTGAGTGTGTGCACAGAGCCAGTGAGGACTGAAGGGCCTGTGCTGGGCGTCAGGGGGTAGCGTCTCCCTGGCTGGGGCCGGTGGTCACCCCTACCCAGACCTCGCTCGCAGACACCCTGCAGGGAGCTGCCTCCCCCTCCTCTAGGCGGTGGGGCTGACCCTCCCAACCCACCTTTCCTCCATTGGCTGCATCACATTTTCCACTGAAACAGGAAGGGCTCTGGATGTGGGACACCAGCCACGTGGTGCTCACGCAGCAGGAGGATGGTGACCTGTCTCAGGGACACCAAGTCCGGAATTTGCCCCTCCTGTGACACACTTGCCCCTGCCCTGAGTCCCTAGTGACAGGTCGGGGCCATCTCCTCACTGAATAAACTCCTGTCCCTTGAGCCCTGTCTCTCCTCACCTCACACACACTGCCATGTCCCTCTGCAGCCAGGGCTGGGGACCACTGGGGAGAGCTCCGGTTGGCTGGCATTGTCCCGCTGAGCCTCAACCCTCAGGCTCTCCTGCTGACAACTCCGCTCTTCCCGGTACCCTGAGGCCAGGCGGGTCCGTGGACTCAGCCAGAGCTTCTGGGGCTGGAAGGAAGATCCTGCAGCCTTCACTACGGGGTCTGGCCCAGGGGCTGCGCAGAGACTCCAAGAAACCTGGAAAGACAGTGTCCACGTGGTCAGTCATTCAGCATTCACCCCATAAATGCTTCCTGGGGGCACCAAAGTACAGTTTACAACACTGGATACTGTGGAAGAGAAAAGTTCAGTAATCAACACCAAGTATTAGCATACAATATGGAAAAAAACTCATGAGATTTGGTGTAAAACGAATGAGAGTTTGAATTCCAGCTCTTTTGCATTCTAGCTGGAATCTGGGGAAGCCACTTTAGTCTGAGTTTCTTCACCTTAAAACTGAGGATGGGGGCTTCCCTGGTGGCGCAGTGGTTGGGAGTCCGCCTGCCGATGCAGGGGACACGGGTTCGTGCCCTGGTCCGGGAGGATCCCACATGCCACGGAGCGGCTGGGCCTGCGGGCCATGGCCGCTGAGCCTGTGCGTCCGGAGCCTGTGCTCCGCAACGGGAGAGGCCACAGCAGTGAGAGGCCCGCGTACCGCAAAAAAAACAAACAAACAAAAAACTGAGGATGAAAACACCCATCTCATAGGGCTGTTAGAGTTAAATGACATGATGCTTCAAAAGCACTCCTATTTGGCATCAGGAACACACTCCATTGATATTAAATATTGCTGTTATTATAAGGTGCAAGGAATGTTTTATTCGGTACCTCGTTTAATTTTCACACTCATCCTATGAACTAGGCATTACTTTTGCTATTATTCCCATTTACCATCAGATAGAGCTGTTCATAAATATTAAGAAATTTGCCCCAAGATCTCTTAGATTAGGGGGAAGGACAGGGATTCAAACCCAGGTCTGCCTTGCTCCAAAGTACATTTTCTTAACTACTGTGCCATATGGTATTCGATACGTGGAAGAATCACAATAAACATTATTTCTGTTTCTTGCTGCCTTTAAAGTGCTCTGGCTGAAGGATGACATGTCACATGTGATAAACCAAGCGTCTGTATAATTCAGTGTACATTCTGGGCAACTTATAGAGCCCACCCACCCTCTTCTGCCAAAGATGAAAACATAAACTCTTTGTCCCCTCTCTCCCAATTCCCATCTGGCCCTGAAAGTCAGCATGTCTGCACAGGCTCCTAAATCGGTACCTACACTGCTTGACAAAAACTGTGCCCCAAATGGTGCCATCAACTGGTTTCCATAGGTTCCTCAAATAATCACCAACACAGGCAACACAACCTCAATAGAAAATCAACTATTAATCTGCTCAATGCCCCCTGGATCCAAACCTGACCTCCTATAGGACTCCATAACTCACAGCCCATATGTAGAGTCAATGACTCCCATAAACCCCTCAAATATAGACCTTCCGGTCCATCACATACTAACTCACACAGTCCTGCAATTACTGATGTCTACAGGTCCCAATCAATGACTCCCATAGGGCTCCTAAAACTGTCTCCCAAAGACTTAAAATCCCAGGCTTGCAATCAACCTTTCACCACCTCAGTGTCCCAATCAATAACTCTCATGGACTGACTGATGACTTCAGATACTTTAGATGACTTCAGACCTCCAACTCTTATAAAACCTCAAGAATTTCTATAGAGGTCTCAATCACTTACCAACATATGTCTCTAATTATGTTTCTTCAAGGATTTCCCAAGATTATCACTCACTGACCCAACATGAATAGCATCTATAGGCCCTGGATTATCTAATCCTATTGGACTCTAACTCCGTGATGCCCTCCCACAGAAATCCTCCCAATCCTTTACTCCCAGAGGAACCAAATCAACCCCAAATCTGGTTTGGTATTGAATTTAAAGAATAAAAAGAAAATTTAAAATGCTTCCAGGCAGAAACAGCATGTTATTTACAATGGAAAGGGATCACAATGGCACTAGATTTATTTGCAACAGTAGGAGCCATATTAGAAGAAAACATCTACAAATTATTGAAAGGGACTGCAATCCAAGAATTTTAAACCCACTCTAGCTGAATACCATGCTTCCATTAGAGCAAAAGACAATTTTAGACATACAAGCACTTATAACATTATATGCCAATATTAGAATCTCAGGAGAATACTCAAGGGGATAGTCTAAGCAATTGTAAATTCAAGAGTAACAGAAACCTCAAAATTGGAGGAAAGCAATTTTGAGAAATGATTATTGCAATCGATATATAGTTATAACTGAGTAAAGAAAAATGTATGTAATTGGGCATCTGGAACAAATAAGATTATTACTATTAATAAGTGGAAAAAATTTTAATACCCTGGGGAAATTTACTGAGTGAAATGAGGAGGAGGAAAATTATGCATCTCTTTTACTAGATCCAAATAATATTAAAACATTATTTGGATTTAGAAATAGAGAAAATATAGACAATCACATTTGTAAGGAAGGTGAAGGCAACTACTAGCAGAAATTGATAAAGATAAAACTCCAAACTCTAATTCCAAAATAATAAGAAATTAAGAAATTAGAGGGGAATTAAGAGAAACATGACCAAACCAGCAAAAAAAAAAAAAAAAAAAAAAAAGGAAAAGAGAAAGTGAGGAAATATCAACCACGTAAAATAAATAGTAAACATAAGATTATAGGAGGCATGAAATCAAATATATTAGAATTCAACTAAATTGAATGAGCTGAATTCTGATGTAAAAGATAAGGACTATGGGATTGGGTTAAAAAAATACAGTTGCCACACATCTAAAACAAAAAGACAAAAATGTGAAATGAAGCACTGGACAGAAGTATGCCATGTTATTTGCTACTCTTTCCATTATGGTCAGCATTAGTTATACCTTGTTAGGAAATCGTTGCCTACCTCAGGGTCATAAAGATGTTTAATGTTTTCTTCTAAAAGTTTTACTGTTTTATCTTTCACATTTAGATCTATAGTCTTCCCAGGAAGGATTTGGTGTGTGGTATGTGTTAGGGTCAAGATTCATTTCTTCCATATTGGTGTCAAGATGATCCAGTACCACTTATTAAAAAGAGTACCCCTTGGGCTTCCCTGGTGGCACAGTGGTTGAGAGTCCGCCTGCCAATGCAGGGGACACGGGTTCGTGCCCCGGTCTGGGAAGATCCCACATGCCGCGGAGAGACTGGGCCCGTGAGCCATGGCCGCTGAGCCTGCACGTCCGGAGCCTGTGCTCCGCAATGGGAGAGGCCACAACAGTGAGAGGCCCGCGTACCGAAAAAAAAAAAAAATATTACCCTTTTTCCAGGTTGCCTTGTGACGATATATGTGGGAGTCCATTCCCAAACTCTGTATTCCCATTGGTCTATTTGTCTATTCTTGGACCAGTACTACACTGTCTTAATTAATGTGCTTCATATTAAGCTTTGATATCTGGTAGAGTAAAAGATTATTAAGTTGGATTGCATTAAAAGTAAGGACCTCTGTTCATGAGAAGACAAAATTAAGAGCATAAAGGCAAATCTCACAGTGGGAGAAGATAATTGCAATACCTGTATCTGACAAACAACTCATATCTCAAATATATTAAGAATTCCTAGAAATCAATCAGAACGATAGAAGAAGAACACAAGGATCAGACACTTCACAAAGAAGATATCCAAATGGCAAATAAGCATAGGAAAAGATGCTCAAATTCATAAGTTAGCAAGAAAATATAAGCTACAGATACTCATCCACATCCACCAGAAATGGCTTAAATGAAAAAGATTGAAAATAACCAAGAGCTGGCAAGGTTGTAGAGCAACTGAAACTCATAAATTGTTTTTTAGGAGCATAATATACTATAAACACTTTGGAAAACTGTTTGGTATTATTTGTTAAAGCTGAACATATGCTTTATATCCTATGACCCAGCTATTCCATCGAAGCATTTACTCAAGAGAAATGCGAACATATGTTTACCAAAAGACAGGTATGATGATGGTCACAGTGGCTTTATTCAAAACTGAAAAGTATGCAAATGCCCATCAGCATTAGAATGGATAAGCAACTTGTCCTTTATTAATACAAGGAATTAATACACAGCAACGAGAATCAACAACTGCTATACACAACATGCACAAATCTTATCTCATGAACATTATATTGGCCAAAGAAGCCAGACCTGAAAGAGCAATGAATCAATACTATATGATTACATTTCTATACATTTCAAAAACATGTAAAACTAATCCATATTGTTAAAAGTTAGGATATTGATACCCCTTGGAAGGAAGTTAGTGATTGGAAAGGAACACAGGAGGGCTTCTTGAGTGTTAGGAATGTTTTATTTCTTGATCTAGGTGGCTGGTTGTGCAGGTTTGTTCAGTCTTTTAAAATATCATCAAGCTAAACATGCATAATGTGTGCACTTTTCTGTATTATAATTCAATAAAGATTTTAAAAATATATAATACCCCAGACAAATGCAAGAAAATGAAAGTAGGTCTAGAAATATAATTATTGAGGTGGAAATTAAGGTCCAAGGTGCACAATAGATTAACAAAAAGGGAGTCTCTTTTAATATAAAATATACAATAAAGAAGTGATAACTTGCATAAACCTTTAGGGTCATTCAACATATACAAATAAAACCAGCACAAATGCATGGAACCACGTGAAGTCTTAAAAATCATAATTATGAGGACTTCCTCTTCCGGAGATGAAGTAGATATAATTTTATCTATTCTTCCTGCTAAATACAGCTGAAAACTCTGGACATTATCTAGAAAACATAGGAAAACTCTGAAAGGTGGAATGAAGAAGGCAGACTGGCTAAGGATCGTAAGACCTAAAAAAATGACATGGCAAAAAAAAAAATGACATGGCAGTGAGTTCTCTGGGTTATCCCTTAGCCTCATATAGCCTAGACTAGGTGCTGGAGAAGCTACAACCCAGAAAGGCCAATGGGTACAGACAAAAACTGCCCCAAGAAAGCCTGCTCTCTCTAGTCAAAGGACCAGGAAAGGGGCAGTCTAGCAAGATAGAAAACTTTCAGACAATGATGGCTCTACTCAAGCCAAACACAGAAAACACTGCAGCCCCAGCCCCACGACTAACAGCAAGGCCAAGTGGATCCAAGCCTAGACTTCTACACTT